AGAGAGAGAGAGAGAGAGAGAGAGAGAGAGAGAGAGAGCTGTGCGTGTTAAAAGGAAGCTAAAGAGCGTCAACTAATGCCATTGAACGCAAAAAATTACAGCGAGACAAACGTTCGCGCACACTGACCAACTACCCATCTAGTGACAGGTCTGTTGACCTATCTACTCTGGCGCTCGTCGAAGAATGCATGGTCTCATTCGGTTCTGCCATATTGAAATGATTCATGATAACGTAATATGGTTACTCAGGTTTGCAGTGTTGTACTTATTTTCTGATCAGTTTGGAGAAAACGGCCGTTGGGGTGTATATTGAAAGTTGTGGGAAGCACCTTCTGTATATGTATATAGTTGGGCAAGCGATCTGTTTCAGTTTGCATCTTGTTGTTGTTGTTGTTGTTGTTGTTGTTGTTGTTTTGCTGTTGTTGTTTTTACGTTGTTGCTGGTTCTGCGATAAGTGTTTTGTAACGGTCATGAGAATCATTATTGGCAGATTCAAATTCGTCTCGAGAATTTGTATTGCGCATGTTTAGAATAGCTTCAAAAGGCGTGTGTAAAAAAAGTAAAAAATTGTGTTACTGCGCAATGTCTTGCCTATGATACCCTGTAAATGCTGCAAAATTTGATCCCACTTCAAACTAGTGCGGGCCAGGCACAGGCAAGACGCGCGCGCTAAACCGGAGCGTACCCGTAGCCACAAATGTCTCAATTGTTGCCGCTACGTTACGAGTCATTTCCTGCTGCAACAGCCATGCTGTGCGTGGCGATTCAACAGCATGCAGCGCACTGTAAAGCGGGCGTCGCCCACCCCAAGTTGGTCGTGCTAACTAATTATTCCTGTCTAGCGCGTATTCAGTGCGGTATAGCGTGTTTACGCACTGAAAAATTGCCTATGGAATAGCCTGGCCCGGCCGAGATTGATGTAGCATCAATTTTGCAGTCTGTACGGGTTAGCGCGGCCATATGCCGTGAATGCGCTATACCCGCTCTTATATATGACTAATGTTACGTATGACTTATGACTAGTATCAGTGGTTAATAATGACAAATTTGTCATTATTAACTCCTGCTAGTATGTAAATGTTAACGATTCTGAGCGCCTGTTTTATGCCAGTGTTTCA